TCCACTTCCAAGGTTTCTGGCCGATTAGGTCAATCATATAGTTCTGTAATATAATTTTCCCAAATTTTCAGCACTTGCCTCTGATATACTATTCCATTCCCCTGGGAGTCTTCGATGCCAATATTTTGAATCCCATGGTTCTCTTTCCGTCCTAGTTCTGTCTTCATGTACATCAAATCATAACGTCCTGTCCTTTGAAATTCTATAATCTCATTACATATTGTGACATGTTGCGCAATGGAGGACAAACCCTCACCCCGCCGGCGGTGACATAACACTTTCGGAGCGTTGCCATTGCTACGGTAATAAGCCAGTCAACACCCTGACTCTCCTTGCGGTGACATAACACGGGATGCCGCCGTTGCTACACAGCAGGAAACAACTCCCGACAGAGTTGCTAGCAACATGGCGCCAGACAACAGTGGTGCGTGTTACGTGGCTGTTCTCTGTGTTGTCCAGAACAAGACTAAATAAGGAGCAGCGAAGACTATTCACAGCAGTTACGAGTTGGCCAGTGAAGAGTACGCAGTCTAATATTTGTAATACTGCAGATAGCAATAACTGTGGATCTGTAAATTGTGTGATTGTAAGAGCGAATGTGAAATAAAATTCGCTATATCAAATACGGCGTGAAGTTATTTGTTGCGTTATATACCCAACACGTGACAGTATCTTCTCAAGATATTCCTTTTTGGCCCTGTCTGTGGCTCTTTTAAATTCATTCCTCAGTCTCCTGTATTTCCTCCTGCCTTCTTCTTTGTTTACATTCTTCCATTGTCTTCGCTCCTCCATTTTACTCATCATCTCCTGTGTAACCCATGGTTTTCTTGCTATCTTCTCAACTTTACCAACCAATTCGCTAATAGTATCTAACATGCATTCTTTTATATTGTTCCACTGCACTTCAGCATTTCCGCTTTCACTTTCAATTGCACTTTGATGTAATAAATCATAAATTACTGCTTGCTAAATTGGAACTGTATGGACTTCAAGGAAAAATACACTCATGGATGAGTTCATAGATTATTGATAGAACTCAATTTGTGGAAATACAGCAATTAAATGAAAAGACTTCAAATATAAAGAAGCATACTTTGTCGTGTCAAGAAAGAAAATATGATATACTTCAGGGTTCTGTTTTGGGACCCCTTTTGTTCTTGTTATTTATTAATGACTTGCCCCAAGCTCTTCAAGAAGCTAAGGTGGTGTTATTCACGGATGAGATGAATATATTACTCGTTGAGAAAGGTCTTACATCGTTAAAAGGGAGCAAATGACAGTAATGCAGTATTTAAAATACAGAAAAAGGGTCTAAGACCTTTTAAAGGAGGCAGTAACAGGGTCTGTTGTAGAAGTCTGATGATTTTAAGATTTTAACTGTAACTTCATTATATATATTTGAGATCTTGTGCTTTATAAAATAGAATAAGGTATACGTGACTCAATATTCTGATGTTCAAAAGTATATCACAAAAGGGAAACAGGATTTGTATGGCCAATTATGCAACACTGCTCGTTGCCAAAAAAAAATGTAGTTAACATGGGAATAAAAATACATAACTTACCCTTCAAAATACAAAGAATGAAACATTTTTAAGGATTTTAAAAAGAAATTAAAAAGTCATTTGTTACAAAATTGTTTTTCTCTATCAGTGTTTTTAGTAAGAAGGATAGATGGTAGTTTTGCAGCTCAAGCTTGTCTTCATATGATATGGAAGTATATAGATGGTCTTTGGTCTTCACTAAACGGGTGATGAAACCAAATAAGAGAAAATACATCATTCAGTTCTCCGAATCTGTAAAACACCTTTATGTAATGGGTCAAACTGAATGACATTTTGTGTAGCAGAGTTATAGAAAGCAACTTAGTTGAATGATGGCAACTGTTGACAAATTCACCTTCACCGGGCAGTTGCAACTGATGTCTCTTCTGAATAACACAACATTCTAATCCACTCTGTGAGCAAAATGTAGACATCTTAACCTTTATTATCCATGTGTTTCACAACACTGTTCATGTGCTGACTGAATACGTCCCAGCAGGCATAGCATTGCACTGTTTACAATATAAATCCCATTCCAACTAAGTATAAATCCGACTGCCACCATGTGGACTATGGATAATGTTACAGGAGCGGTACATATACTTACTATTGTGCTTTACAGGGATAAAATACTTCATGAGTAACCTGGGTAAGGTAACAGGTCAAGTTGTCCCTCTGCTTTAACTAAGTGTGCACTATGTTACGATGGCACATGGGGGAGTGTGAGTATAGATCCACATTTTCTTGACCTCAGCACTAGCTAGAGGTGAGTGGTCAGCTTCACACCTCTGCCACTTTACCCCCAGTACCCATCAAAAAGAATATTTTTGTTGGAACTTAAGCTTGTCATTTCATGGTTGCTACAAAAAAAGCATTAGGACAGCCACACACCGAACCAAAGATAAATCAACAAAACCATAAGTAACATCAGATATGCAGAGACTGAATATACACTAATATGTACTTTAAAATAGAACTCCAGCATAACCCATTGCATATTACAGATAAGGCAAACAGTTGCATGTCAAATGCTTGTTACAACAAATAACCCAGAATTAGTCGGAGGCAATTATGGAAGAAAAGCAGAAGAGCATTATGGTGAGCAGCAGTCCTTCATCACAACCTGTACACATGATGATGGGCGGTTAGGCTCAAACATGTAGTGACAATAAAGAGGCACAAAACGAGAATATCAACAGATGTTACAAATCACTTGAGCTGAGCCCTTCTTGAGAAGCTGCCAATTATGCAACTCCTCAAGAACTTCCCCAACATTTTATGGAACCCAAAGGTTCATTACCGTGTTCATAAAATATCTCCACTGCTCCCTGTGCTGAGCCACATCAATCCAATCTTTCTGCAAGATCCATTTTATTATTGTCCACTAACCTATGCCTTGGTCTTCCCAGTGGTCTCTTTCCATCTGCCTTTCCCACTAATATCCTATACGCGTTCCTCTTCTCCCACACTCGTGCTACATGTCCTGCCCATCTCATCCTCCTTGACTTGATCATTCTAATTATACTTGGAGAAGAGTACAAGTTATGACACTCCTCATTATGCAGTTTTCTCCAGCCTCTTATCACTTCATCTCTCTTTGGTCCAATTATTCCCCTCAACATCCTGTTCTCAGACACCCTCAGTCTATGTTCTTCCCTTTAATGTCAGAAACCAAGTTTCACACCCATACAGAACCACAGGCAGAATTGGTTTTGTATATTCTAATTTTTATGTTTTTGGGCAGCAGAAAAGGAGACAAAAGGTTCTGGACTGAATGGTAGCAAGCATTGCCTAAGTTCAATCTCCTATTTCCTCCTCAATCAGGTTTCGATTTATCATCATCATTCTCAGATATCTGAAATGTGCCACATTTTCAAAACATCTGTTACCTATATTTATATCATGATTTTGCCCTGCATTTTGGTGACGAGAGCAACCTATACTTAGTTTTCTCTGTGTTCACTTCTAGGCCAACCTCCTTACTAGTGTCAAATAAAGTTTGTGTGTTTTTCTTTATGGTATCTATATTGTCACTCAGTAGATTCACATCAGCATACACCAGCAGCTGATGTGTCACATTTATTTTCAGTCCCACCTGGTTTTCCTGGACCTTCTTAATGGCATATTCTAAAACAAGGTTGAAAAGGAGTGATGATAAAGCATCACCTTCTTTCAGACTATTCTGGATAGGGAAATTATCTGACAGATGTTTACCTATATGGACTTTACCATACACTTCATTTAAACACATTTTAATCAGCCTAACTGGTATCATGGATACCCCAAACTCTTATCAGAATATTGTCTAATACTTCCCTCCTAACTGTATAACAGGCTTTTTTTAAGTCTACAAATAGCGGATATACTGTCTCATTGTACTCCCATTATTTCTCAAGTATCTGATCAGTAGTTGGTCTATTACATTGAAACCCACACTGATGATC